CTTATTTTAGTACTTGCAGAGAATACCTTGCTGAAAACCGCTTATCATTTCCTTCTGCTCCTCGTTGGGTTCAACACTCTTACTTAACGAAAGGACTACGATAGATCCCCTATACTTGTGGGTCATCAGGTCTATCTGACTCAGGTCTTATCTTGACTCGGAACCGACTACACCGAATCCGACCAAACCCTTCTGGGTCCATATTATTCGGCTAGCATCCAATGCTCTATGGCCAGTGAGACCGCGCCATCCACCGTGTCATATGCTAGTCTAGTTGGTTGCGCTAGACAACCCTTTAGACTAGGGACCTTTTAGGACAGTCATCATACAATGCATAGTCCCACAAACAAGTCATGTACTTGCTGATATACATCATTGATTATATCCAAGGACTATCTTTATTCATAAACACATAGGAAATATCATCATCCATGATTGCCTCTAGGGAATATTTCCAACAACCCCTTGCTACTAGAAACTTCTAGAAGGTCCAGCTAGTAGCTCAGATGCCCTAGGACCCAATGGCAACCACACACAACACCTACACACCTCCCTCTAGCTACTAACATGGTTACTGCCAGCAAGGGCCAACCAGGCGCCAACTGGCCTGGTAACTGATACGTCTCCAACGTATCTATAATTTTTTATTGTTCCATGCTGTTATATTATCATTCTTGGATATTTTCCAATCATTTTATATCTTTTTTGGTACTAACCTATTGCATAGTGCCGACTGCCAGTTGCTATTTTCTGCTTGTTTTTTACATCGCAGGAAAACAATATCAAACAGAGTCCAAATGCAACGAAACATTTTGTGGAATCTTTATGGGCCAGAAGACACCCAATGGGCCGTAGAAGCACCTGGGGGGTGCCCCGAGGGTGGCACAACCCACCAGGGCGCGTCGGGCCCCCAGCCGCGCCAGGTGGGTTGTGCCCACCTCAGTGGCCTCCCGCACCGCCTCTTTGCTCTATAAATACCCCAATATTCCAGAAACCCTAGGGGAGTCGACAAAAATCAATTCTAGCCCCCGCAAGTTCCAGAACCACCAGATCCAATCTAGACACCATCACGGAGGGGTTCATCATCCTCATTGGTGCCTCTCCGATGATGTGTGAGTAGTTCACTGTAGACCTACGGGTCCGTAGTTAGTAGCTAGATGGCTTCCTCTCTTTCTCTTGTGATTCTCAATACAATGGTCTCTTGGAGATCCATATGATGTAACTCTTTTTGCGGTGTGTTTGTTGGGATCTGATGAACTTTGAGTTTATGATCAGATCTATGTTTTTATCCATGGAAGTTATTTGAGTCTTCTTTGATCTCTTATATGCATGATTGCTTATAGTCTCGTATTTCTTCTCCGATATTTGGGTTTTGTTTGGCCAACTTGATCTATTCATCTTGCAATGGGAAGAGGTGCTTTGTGATGGGTTCGATCTTACGGTGCTTGATCCCAGTGACAGAAGGGGAACCGACATGTTTGTATGGTTGCTATTAAGGATAACAAGATGGGGTCTATTTCTAAATAAATAGATCTTTTCTACATCATGTCATTGTTCTTATTGCATTACTCCATTTTTCCATGAATCTAATACACTAGATGCATGCTGGATAGCGGTCGATGTGTGGTGTAATAGTAGTAGATGCAGGCAGGAGTCGGTCTACTAATCTTGGATGTGATGCCTATATAAAGATCATTGCCTAGATATCGTCATGATTATTTGAAGTTCTATCAATTGCCCAATAGTAATTCGTTTACCCATTGTATGCTATTTTTCTTGAGAGAAGCCACTAGTGATCTATGGCCCCCGGATCTCTTCTTTATTATATTTGCCTTCACGATCTATTTTTATTTGATTTTATTTTCAGATCTATTAATCCAAAAATACAAAAATACCTTGCTGCAATTTTTGTTTATTTATTTTATCTCGCGTTCCCACGAGATCTATTTATCCAATCTACTACAATTTTATTTATCTTTTTACCCGTGAAGGATTGACAACCCCTCTCTTACGTCGGGTTGCAAGTATTTGTTCTTTCTGTGCAGGAGCTGTTTACGTGGTGTTGCGTGGTTCTCCTATTGGTTCGATAACCTTGGTCTCATCACTGAGGGAAATACCGACCGTTGTTGTGCTGCATCATCCCTTCCTCTTTGGGGAAATACTGACGTAGTTCAAGCAAACATCAGTAACCACGGGGCTGGCAGCTCACACACTGCGCAGCGCCCGACCCCTGGTCACATGGCCTCCCCACCGCAGTGCGTCCTCAGCATCCAGCACCACGCGCAGCTCCTCCCTCGCGCGTCCCAGCTCTCCCCCGCATCCAACCAATGCCTTCCTGGCCGGCCCCCTTCGCCGAATGCTGTCGTGGCTCCGGCCACTGTGCGACCATGACCCTAGCGGGGCATCGATGCGCTAGGCCGATGCACATGCCTTTTTGGCCGCTATAACCACCCGAGCCCCGGCCAAGGCTATTCGTAGGCCGACGCAGTCCCAGCTGGCCATCAGCGTCGATCGTGGCGGCACCATGGCCCCCCTAAAACTTGTGAACTGCATTCGGATTTCTCCAAAGAGGAGAGGATGATGCAGTACGGTAGAGATAGTGTTTCCCTCAGTTAAGAACCATGGTTATCAATCCAGTAAGAGAACCAAGCAACACTATGAAAGCAGTACCTGTACACAAACAACAAATCCTTGCAACCCAACGCGAACAAGGGGTTGTCAATCCCTTGACGGTTACGAGCAAGATTAATTTGTATGGTATTTGATAGATAGATCAGACTAAAATATAAAATAAAATAAATAAAGTAAAAACACAGCAAGGAATTTCTGGTTTTAATATATGATAAAAGATATACCCGGGAACCATAGTTTTCACTAGAGGTTTCTCTCGAGAAAATAGCACACGGTGGGTAAACAAATTATTGTTGGGCAATTGATAGAAAAACAAATAATTATGACGATATCCAAGGCAATGATCATACATAGGCATCACATCCGAGACAAGTAGACCAAAATGATTCTGCATATACTACTATTACTCCACACATCGACCGCTATCCAGGATGCATGTAGAGGATTAAGTTCATAAAGAATGGAGCAACGCCTTAAGCAAGATGACATGATGTAGACAAGATAAACTCATGTATGAATTAAGCACATCTTTTTACTCTTAATAGCAACGGTACATACATGTCATGTCCCCTTCTGTCACTAGGATTGAGCACCATAAGATCAAACCCATTACAAAGCACCTCTTTGCATGGCAAGATAAATCAATCTAGTTGGCCAAACCAAATCAATAGATCGGAGAAGAAATACGAAGCTATAGTAATCATGCATAAAAGACTTCAGAGAAAACTCAAATAATATTCATGGATAGATCTGATCTTAAACTCACAATTCATCGGATCCCAACAAATGCACCGCAAAAAGTGATTACATCAAATAGAACTCCAAGAACATCCAAGAGAACATTGTATTGAAGAACATCGAGAGAGAAGAAGCCATCTAGCTACTAACTATGGTCCTGTAGGTCTATGATAAACTACTCACGAATCATCGGAAGGGCAGCAAGGATGATGTAGAGCCCCTCCGTGATCGAATCCCCCTCTAGCAGGGTGCAGGAAAAGGCCTCCAGATGGGATCTCTTGAGAATAGGAACTTGTGGCCGCGGCAAAAATATTTCATGGAGTTCTCTATTGGTTTCATGATTTTAGAGAATTTATAAAGGCAGAGTTAGTCAAACGGAGCCACGTGGGCCCCACAATCCACATGGGCGCACCCTACACCCCTGGGCGCGCCCTGGTGCCTCGTGGGCCATTTCTCCATCTTCTCATACCGTCTCGAGGCTTTCAGGGTCTCTTATGTCTAGAAAAAGTTGCCAAAAAGTTATGTGGCATTTGGACTTCATTTGGTACTGGTATTCTGCAAAACCAAAAATAAAAAGAAAAAAACAGCAACCGGCACTGGGCACTAAGTTAATAGGTTAGCACCAAAATATGCCTTCGACGTGGCACGATCTGGGATTCTGTTTTTCAGTTTAAGTCAATTAAAATGCTTCTGTTAGCCCAACTTTGAGCTTGAATATCCCCTAGACCATAAGTCCAAATCAATTGATTCTTTTTGCATTCTTTTTGTTATTTAATTTCCTTTCTGTTGGGAAAGTTTGAGTTTTATTTGGCATGTCCAGAATTTCTGGACAGAGTTCTATTGTTTTGCTCTTTATTGAAAATGCTTTGAAATTATTTCCAGAGAGAAATAGTTCAGGAGGTGAATATCGGGAGTTTTGTGACCCTCCACTTAGGTTAAGTGATGCAAATTGTTGTTCGTTTCAAATGAATTTGGTTTGATTTAAATGGTCTACTTGTTGCAAGTTCTACATCATCTATTGGAGCACTACTTTTACATCACCAAATATACATCATATGTTCTTGTTGGCACTTTTTTGTTGATGTAAAATGCACATTTTAATGTTGTAAATTATACATCACCTGCAATTACGTCTTCAAATATATTTCGTTGGAGATTTTTTGCTTTTGGAAAAGGAGGTTTAGCCCCGGCCTCTGCATCCGGAAGATGCATACGGCCACATTATTAAAAAAGTTCAAAGCAACATAAAGTCTTAGATTTAATACAGCTCGCAGACGGAGCAAAAAGATAAATAAAAACTCATTGCCACAACAGGTAGAAACAATAGGAGAAGATCACTAGACTCCTATCCAACATATTCCGTTGGAGATGATCTTTAGTGTTTCCATGTCTCTTGATAGACTCCGGGATATACACAGATGTTTTGTGGTGGAGTACCATGATCGGCTTTCCTTTGCTAGAGCCTAGAGGTCAACGGCCTGCGAAGAATGAAGTTAGCAAACCGCGTCATTTGACCACTCCAAAAGATTACTTCTCCAGAAGTAGTCTTCTATCGTCCAGCGAAAGTGCCTCGACTGCGACGTGCGACCAAACGATCACCATTCCAAAAGTCTACCGTGGCAATCGCGGTCATGGCGGGCTGCTGGTTCCGGCGTCTGCTATCTTGTTTGCCGCAGCGCCGGATCGACTGCGACGGGGGACAGCTCGTTTGCCTCGATCCCGACGACGACGAGTGGTGTCGCCCTGTGTGCGAGGAGGTCGCGGCGCAGTCCCCCGAGCCGGCTTCGTCTTCGGCGGCCATGTCCTCGTCGCTGCCGCACCTCGTCGACGACGTGCTGGAGGAGATTTTCCTCCGCCTGCCCACCCCGGCCGCGCTCGCCGGCGCCTCGACCGCCTGCCCCCGTTTCCGCCGTGTCATCACCGACAGGTCCTTCCTCCGCCGCTTCCGCAAGCGCCACCCGCCGCCGCTCCTCGGGTTCGCCGCCAAAGGTGGCTTCCGCCCGGCCCAGGCGCCCCACCCATCGGTCCGGTTCGCCCGCGCGCTCGTCGACGCGGCTGACTTCACCTACTCCTTCGTCCCCGTGCCCACCAACGGCAGCCCCTGGTTCCCCCGCGACCTCCGCGACGGCCGCGTCCTCCTCGACAGCAGGCCACTTGGGGAGACATTCAAAAGCTTCGCGGTGTGCGATCCTTTGTCGAGGCGCTACGTCTTGCTCCCGTCCATTCCCGATGACATGATGCTTGAGGACGAGGAGAAGCGCCCTCCTGAACTCCGGCACATGCTGGCCCCCATCGGCGAGGACGACGAGGATCATGGGACCTCGTTCAACGTGATATGCTTTGCTCACTATGAAACCAAGCTTGTTGCGTTCGTCTTCTCTTCCGTCACTCGAGGATGGTGTATGGCCGCATCTACCAGCTGGACCTCTTTGGGGGTTCACCGTAAAGGCCATGGCTGGGAATGCCTGCCTTTCTCGGGACGCAGTTGCTTCTACTCGGCATCGGCATCGGCATCGGCATTGCCGGACACGTTGATTGTGCTGGACACGGGAACGATGGAGTTTTCCACTGTCAACGGCGGCACTGGCTACCATGTAAAGCTCAGACGTCTACTTGGCCAGGCAGACAACGATCTCGAGGTTGACATTCTCGCCGGTGAAGCTCTCGTCCGCAACACCATACGGAGAACACATCGCCCAGGCCGGACCGGAAGTCGACCTGGCATCGTAATGGATAGAGATGGAACCATTGAGATGTTTTCTCTCGTTGGTGATCACACGCGCAATGGCTCGTTTCAACTCTATCACACCCGTCAGCAAACGAACAGTGAATATTTCAAGGAATGGCGGCTGGAGAATGTTATACCGTTGCCCGACGGGTATGACTATTTCACCGCCGGCGCGGCCGAGGGATTCTTATTCCTTGGAGCCACTACAGAAGATCAGTTCGACGTTGATCAAGGCTCCTCGGAGCCGTATTGGAGGACCGGTTGGGAAGTAGATTATTTTTCGCTCGAGGTCAGGACTTCTCAACTTACCAAGGTTTGCAGGAGCAAGAGGCAATTCTTCCATGGTGAGCATGCTCTCTGGTACTTTGGCTATCCACCGTCCTTGTCCAACCCGTGTGTGTGAAGTGGTACACTGAAGATGGCACACTCACCACCTTCATTATTGTTAATCGTGTAAATCTTCATTGTTCACCGTTTGCTCCTGTTCTTGTTTGAATTATTTTGTATGTAAAGCTGAGTGAAGTGATTTGTAAAGATCACACAGATGCCAAGTTAAGATTAAAGATGTGAGAATATGGAAACATTGTAACTAAAGTTGTAAGACATTGTGTGCGAGAACCTAGTCAGATTGGTTTCCAGTGTAATGGACTTCAAAATAGTGTGTTACATAAGTTAACTTGGAATTAGCAAATTGCTTCAGTTCATCGCATGGATCTGAGGAGTCTGCAGCATTAGGCATGAGCTTAAAAGCTACGGAAACAATTGACATTGTTGATGATGGCTCATCTTAAAAGATCAGTGCCAAGTGTTCTCAACGGTGCAGTTCAGTAGTTGAGACTATTGCAGTACACATACACCTATAAAATGTGTGGCTGAGAAAGATGAACCTATGGCAGTACTACCACAGCAAGCTTTAATGTGAAGACTAGTGTGAAGCTACAAGGCAACCAGAGCTAGAAACTACTCAAGTGATCAGTGATCTAAATGCTCTTATATTTTTTATAAAAGGAGAGTACTAATCTGAAAGTACATGACAACATAGACCTACAACACTGTACTCCGGCGACAATGCAAGCTAACCAACATCAACCCGAGAATTCACAAGAGTGCTCGTCCTCGCCTGCTCACGGTATTGTGTACTGTCCTTTTCGGGTAGACCCGACACCATTACGTAGTGGGCCAGATATTAATTTAATGTTGCATTGAGTTAACCAGCACGGCCTTGGTAACCTCGTCTGCCTGATGTTGGCACAGGAGGCCAGCTCCCTCGTGTTCCCACGGCTCAGTTCAAGCGCATGCTGCCTTCGCATGTACGTGAGCATTTTTCTGGAATGTTTGAACATGACGTGAGCATGCTGCCTTTGCAATATACCATGCGAATATCTTCAAGCAGGCAAAGCAGCTCCGTCTTCTCGAGTGACGTGAGCATGCTGCTATTGCAATATTTTCAAGCAATACGTAAGCATTTTTCTCGAATGTTTGAACATATTTTTTATCTGCGAACTTTTTTGAACTCGTGAACAATATTACAATTCATGAAACTTTTTTTGATATGTGAACATTTTTTCTCGAATACGTGAACATATTTTGCATTCACAAACTTTTTTGAATTTTCCGCCAACATGTTTTGAATTTGGTGAGCATTTTTTGTAGTTGTGAACATTTTCTTCAATTTGCGAACAATTTTTGAAGATGTTAACCATTTTTATTTTGCAAACAGTTTTTTGAATATGTGTACACTTTTTTAATTTTGGAGTATTTTTTACTTTGCGCGAACATTTATTGAATTCATGAACATTTTTTGAATTTGTGAACATCTTCTGAATTCACCGCGAACATTTATCTAATTCGTGAATTTTTTTCAAATTTTCTGCAAACATATTTCAATTTTTAATACATGAACAAATATTTGAGTTCAGAACTTTTATTGAATTCAAGACCATTTTTTCCAGAATACTTGGACATATTTTGAATTCACGAATATTTTTACAATCGCCATGAACTTATTTTGTATTCGCGGACATTGTCTGAAATCACGGACACTTTATGATTTCATTGCGAACACATTTTGTATTCACATATAATTTTTGAATCTGCGAACAATGTTTCAATACATGAACAATTTTCTGAGTACATGAATTGTTTCTGAATTCTTGACGAATTCATGAGCATTTCCGAATTCGTGAACTATATTCGAATTCATGAAACAAAATTGAATACTTAAACATTTTTATAGAATACTTGAACATATTTTGAATTCGCAAACATTTCTTGAATTTTCTGTGAACACATTTCATATTCGCAGACACTTTTTAAATGACAAACATGATTTGAATTCACCGCGAACGTATTTTGAATTCACAAATATTTTCTGAATCTGTGAATAATTTTTTTTCAAATACACGAACCTTTTTGAATTCACGAATATTTTTTCTGATTCACAAACATTTTTATTAAACTGTGAACATTTTTTGGAAATTCATGAGCAGTTCTTTATTTGCACTAACCTTTTCAGAATTAAAACACGATTGCCATTATTTTTTGTTGCATGACCGACCCAAACAGTCAAACTATTGTTAAGATTGAATGACTGTCATCACGGCCTCGGGCAAACCAATTTAGTATGGGGGAACAGAAAACCCAACGGAAAGTTGGACTGAAAAGCCACCAAAATTGGCTTGCAATTAAAAAGTGCTGAAATCACCAGGAACACGCACAGCGAACATGAGATGCCACTCAACTTTCATGGATAAATAGCATGCTCTACCAACGGAACATATGCACGTTCGACCGTCTTCCATATTAAACGGCACCGTCACAGTATGCAATTGTTGGACGTTGGTACCCTCTGTTTTGTACGCCTGCACTTAATACATGTACGCACGCGTGATTGTTCCATTGTTCCACCTAAGCAGGAGCAAACGAGCTCGTCCACTCTATTGCCACTCTCGGTACCACACTATAGCAGGAAGGCATGGGTAGATGTCTTCAGCACTACTCGACTACGTCGCCACTCTCCTCGAAACAGGATTACAACCATGCCGTCGCCTCAAAAAAATCACTAGTCGTCTGCGCAATAATGTCAGCCCCTTTGTCGAAGAAGCGTCCGTATTGCATTTTTCTGTAGTTTCACCCATGAATTGAGGAATTGGCATGCAAGTACACTAATTATATAATGAGAGAAGTGCATATTTTAACCCTCAACTTTTTTCCCTAGTCTAATCTACAACCTTCAATTGTAATACCGTCTAAGAATCAATCTCAAACTCTTAAAACCGGCCAGGATTCAACCCTCCCCTCCCAACACGTTGGTTTTGATCCGTTGACCATCCAGTCAGCAAGCCACGTTAGCAATTAAATCAAAATTTCAAGAAAAAAATTGTGTAAGTAAATAAATTGTATTTCTTTAAATATTGTTGTAGAACAAAAAATCTGTAAACTAAAATAAATAAGTAAAATTGATTTCTTTTGAACTTTCCCAGAATTTCCAACAATTTATTGATTCTATCGTTTTTTTAAAAACTTTCTAGGAAAATTATTTATTTTGACAAAATTTGTCCAAAAATGTAGCAAAATAATATAAAAATTATTTTTTTTGAATTTCCTTTATTTCTTTGGGTTTATAGTTTTTTATATTACATATTTTTTATTGTTTTTTATTTTCGAAATTTTACAGAAACATTAATTTTTTATTTTAGAGATTTGTTCCTATTTTTATGGACTTTTTAATTTGACAGATTGAATCCTTTGCCGACGTGGCTTGCTGATTGGACATGCTAACTAGATTGTCAACGGGTCAAAACCAGGGTGTGGGGAGGGAGGGTTGAATCCCGGCAAGTATTAGGAGTTCAGAATTGATTCCTTGATGGTATTATAGTTGAGGGTTGTAGATTAGACTAGGCAAGAGTTGGGGTTGAAATATGGTGGGGAACTGGTGGCCTGACCCGGGCAGAGCAGGGCCGCATGGGATTAAGCAAGGGAAGAGAGAGGATGCGGCTGGGCCGACTGGGCCATTGGGGTAGGATCGGGGAATAGGATAGGATTATGTCTTGTAAAAAAATTGGTTTTTTGGGTTAACCGAGGTTGGAAAACCGAATTCCCCGAACTAATTTTGGTTCTTTAGGTTTGATGACCGAATTGGGGATCAGATTTTTTGTTGTGGTCTATCTGGGTTAGGTTCAGGTACTTCCGATTCGGTAAATCGGTTTTCGTTTAATTTGTCTGCCTCCCTCTTAGGGATACACAATGCAGAAAGGGGAATAATTATTTTAGAAATTAGAAAATAAGTTTTTATTACAAACTAATAAAGGTGCCCGTGCGTTGCAACGGGGCATAAATATTTGAATGATTCAACACCATATGGATCCCCGCAAAAAAAACACCATATAGATCATCATCTATCTCAAGTGGCATTGTCAGATTCTTTTTACCATTAAACTACTATTCTTCTTCTCTTCCTCCTCCTTCACCTCTTCTCTGCATGTGCTGGCTGGGCTTGAATTTTAAACTATAGCCTTATAGGAGGCAAACATGTACTACATAAATATTACATGTGCTTGAACCATAGAACATGAGATCCATAATAAGGCATAAGAAAATGTGTAGGAAGCTCACCATCTTTTATTGTTGTGGTCTAAATATTGAGATACGATGATATGCATTTGCTTGCTTTCCGTGTGGGCTGGATTAATTCCCCTTTGCTTTTTATTTAGATTTGCAAAGACTACTGAAGATGGTGTATCATTAACATGCAATGGCCAAAATTAGAGTTTTCGGAAAATAAAGTAATGCATCTGGTAGAATATATGGTCAAGATTCATAAAGAAACAACAACAAAACTATGGATATTCACCTCGTTGTTATTCTTTGTGCATATACAGAAGTTGAATCCGAGAACAATCCAACCTGCGGATGGTCTAATGTGTCCATCAAGATGTTCAGCTAGTCCATGCAGGCTTGATGCTTCACACGTGAAAAGAAAAGAGCTTCAACTTTGCAGGGGTTATGGTCCGAGTAGGCGTTTTGGTGCCCAGGCTCATCTGCACCCGGTTAGAAAAAAAATCGTAAAAAAATATTAAAAAATTACAAAATTACAAAAAAATTGTGGTAGAAAATTTGATGCGTGAGGCTCGCTCCAAATTTCAAGTCATTTGGACATCTGAGCAGCTCTCGGAAAAAAGGACAAATCGGGCCAAAATAGTACGTGAACAGTATACATTTTTACAGACCCCCAATTTGTCTTTTTTTCTGAGAGCTCCTCGGATGTCCAAATGATGTGATAATTGGAGTTTTTTTTTGGAATTTTTGAATTTTTCAAGTATTTGTTCTGATTTTTTTCGTCAACGTGGGTGCAGATGAGCTCGGGTGCAGTGATGTATTTTCCCCTGGATGAAGGCATTTTTG